TGTGGATTCATCCAACCTTTTGTAAAAGGCACAGCCTTCCTACTTCTCTGATTAGGCAACAGTGAGACCCTGGAGTTCAGGGACTGTCTTTTCTGAAGCTTCACCAGCATGGTCTGGTCAACCTCCATATCCAGTATAGTAGTCACCAGCACTGCTGCAGCTGGAGGGTCTGTGATATGCTCCTGGCAGTGACATCAATCAGAACTCCAAGAAAAGCTTGGAGTGCTTGAAAAGCACCTAGGCTAAAGGAAAGTCAGGGCATCATCTGAAAGTTGGAACAGATATAATCTTTTCTCATTTCTGTCAGTCTGGACCCTGGCAGAAGGTCTAACTGGATTAATAGCGTTCATTTAGCAGGCACCACCTGACTTTAGTTTACACAGCATGGGACAAGTCTTCTCCCAAGCAAAATGCATCCATACCATCTTGGCTCAAGATTTCCTGTAGGCCTCATGTGACACATTTTGCCCTCAGGTGCCAGCATTATTCTGGGTAACCTTTTCAGCTCAAAGTTTCTAAAAAAGTGCAGACCAAGGCTGCAGCCTACCAGTGATGTTTTTACAACAATACTGTGAGGTCCATGTTTCATGCCCTGGACTATGACATAAAAGCACATTGGGGAATTTGACAATGAAAAGTCTGCTGGAATAGCTTTAGGGAATGGTATAAGATGGAGAGAAACAAAAGTGAGACAGGCTTGACTAAAACTGTGCTTGGGCATTATGTTGGACAGAGCTATTTGGAGAGGTCCAAAATAAAGCCAAGGAGAAAATAAACCAGTAAGTAGCACTAATGGAGCCTGGTCCTCCTTTCCTTAGCACCACAGAAATACTCAGAGGTGGCATTGCATAGCTGTGTCTGCTGCCTGCAATTAATATCTGCAGGCAAGGACAGTCTGCCTGTAAGTCACACTGGACCAAATGTTCCACATCACTGCTGAATTTAAGCTGTGTTGCTTGTACACAGGCATGAAGAGAGTTTACACTGCCCACCAAGTGCCCTGTGCTGGCCTCCCAGCTCAGAACGGTTCTCCAGCAGCTGGAGGAGGGGTGGAAGGACACACATCAATTTAGCATTTCCCTCAGCTGAAACTGCGATTGCAAATAGGGGCAGTTAGTTATCTACCAGGGTCCCACTGGTCTGTGTTCCCCAGGGCTAGAAGTTCAGGCTTACGTCTACCTTCTCTCTTCTAAGGCTGCTGCTTCCCCAGGATGTGCCTGCCAAGAGTACAAACCCCTCTTTCTGGCATGAGGGCTCGGCATGTGTATTTGGCTGAGCACCTGATTAGCTGTTGGTGGGTTGATGATGAGGACAGTGCTAAGGTCAGAGGGATGAGCATGACAGGATACAGGAACTTGATGTGTACATCCTGAGCTATAATATTGCTTGAACCTACTTCTGTGGGTTCAAGAAATCACAGAATTTATGCACTCGCTGCTAACAGCATCACTTTTCTACTGCGTTCCATTTCTTTCACATATGGCTTTCTGAAAGGACTGAATAAAATGAATTAGTTTAACAGTTTCATTAAATAACTTCGGTTTATGTTAGTATATGCCTCAGGACTGTCAGCATATGTCCCATTTCTGGGTATTTATAAGCTGAAGTGGACAAGGCTCTGAAAAATACACATGGGAAATCATCAGAGTTAGGAGAAGAGATGTGTTTTGGTGAAAAATGGTGACACTGTGTGTTATCAAAACCAGTCTAAAACCCCTTTCAAAAATATCCATTATTTTAGCTCAGTGGTTTGAAGAAATGTTTCCCATTTAAATGTTTTCTGATTCTGTAAATGAACTATGTTATTCATCTTAGATCTGTCAGATAAAGAAAAAATGTACATATGATTTAATCCCTTAGTTGGTTTATAACCTTAGAACTCAAGCAGGAGAATCACAAATCCATGTAGACTGATCCAAATGCTGACTTTTGCATTTGGATTTCTGATTTAGTCGAAAAATATATAAAAAACTCGTGTAGGCAAACAGCTCCCTTTTGGCTACACATCTGTGCAGGCTCAAGAGCATCGTATATTTCTGTAAAGGTCTGGAATAAATTGTGCTCAATGAATTGGTCCCTCGTATGCTTGCTTCAACCAGCAGACTTGGAAGAATTCATGTATCATGGGAGCATCAACAGCAAAACAATACCTCTTTGGTCCAATCTAGTGGGAGCTGCCATCATAAATGTGGAAGTTGGGTAGATGCAGAAATAAATAATTTGGAGGAGATGGAAATGTACTTACAGATCAATATTAGTAACTGCAAGCTACATTCAGCTTCTCAGGCATTAGTTTTGCATTTGAAAACTCCACAATAACTCTGAAGAAAAGTACTTTTGGTGGTTGGGATTCATCTACCTGAACTCAGCCATCTAGAAAAGAAGTATCTACTCTGAGCCATCCATCTAGAAATATCATTTATAGTGAGTTCTGTGCAGTTTGACAACGGACTATGTCACCATGTGAGATTGCTTTTTTTTCCATTAACAAAAGGGAAAAGACACGTGACTCCATTTAAAGTGGTACACTTAAGTTTTATCCAGCTAAAATTAGGAATTTACTGCTAAATGTGTACTCAGTAGGCCCCTTACGCAGCCCATGAGCATAAACGGCAAACAAGTGTGCAATACCGACAACAGACTTTATTAGTGGTTTTGTTTCATCCACATGCCGCTCTGAAGTCCTGACTCAGCCCCTTTTGTTAGACAAACAATGTGTCTTATCCATTTTCTTTAATAGTAGGGTATTTGTATGCCATTCTTCTCCCATGAACATAAGCAGCTCTCAGCCATCACTAACTTTGAACCAACAACCAGCCTTTCATTTGGCTGCTCAGCTGAGCATTCACCCATATAAACTGCTCACGTGTTGCTATGCAGATTTCAAACTTGAAAGTCTGGTTTTCTTTTATGACTGGGATTTTGCGAGAGCGGGTAAAAACTGTGCAAAGATTTATCATTCCTGCTGTTCACCCAGCCTAATTTTTGGCTCTGCTTCAACCTCTTTCTTTTCCTGTTTTCTCAAGAATGTTTCCCCTTTGAAAGCCAGCTTCATTAATGCAAAGGTCAAAATTATTTAGAGACTCCCTCCCACCTTCTTAGCCAGCTCACATCCTCGCTAGAAGCCTTGCAGGTCTGTCCGTACCAAGCCAGGCTCCTTTCCAGGCCTGTCTGGTCAGAGTTAGTTCCTCCTCCTGCCACCTGATATCCTGTGTTCAGCACAAGCTGAAGTCTCTCAGCTCTTTTAAGCTCGATTTCCTCCCTCTGGACTCCTTGCTGAATTTAGGTTGCCCATAATGATTCCCAGAAGGTCCAATTATGAATCACTTGCTCTTAGCACATGAAACATCCTTCAGCACATCTGCAAAGTGAACCGTAGCTAGCACAGGTGAGACTGAGCCTGTAGCAACTCCCTTCCATGCCAAATAATGTGTATTTATACTTCCAGAAAAATGTAAATCATTCTCATAGCCCCGCTTCTAAAGACACAGGACTATATTTATTTGTGGGTTTTAATTAATAAATAAATAACTAGTCCCACTTATTGCTGACTAATATTAATATTGCTACTCTTAGGTTAGTTGTGATAAGAGTCTGATGAACACTATATATTGGCAAAAGTATCACCAAGGAAAGTAATCTCTTGTCACTCGTTCATGCCTCAAACCATTCCTCCCTGTGTGAAGACAGCAGACTCCATACCTGAAAATTAGCTTTCCCAGGCAGGGAAAACATCCTGAAGTGTTTTTGCTGGGTAGGTTTAAACCCAGATCAGCTTCTCACTCCAGTTCTCCACATAACTACAATGGAGGAGGTGATGCAGAAGCGGGAATGCAAGGCCAGAGTGGGAGAAAGTAAGGCTGTGTCTTTCAACACCAATGCCCCTTTATACTGACTTTCAGTATCCATTGAATTACAGATTCTATTAGTTTACCTGATGTTGCCCCTAAGGAAAATGCAAATTGCACCTCTTCCAGAGACACAGAAAATTTTTTTAAAAAATGATGTTGTATGGTGGAAACTGTTCTGAGAACAAAACTGTCACTTCAGGTAATTGGATTTACTTCAGTTCCTGCCAAATTTTACTTCCTAGATTTTATGGGGAGCTCTTAATGGTTTCAGAATTTTTAAAAAAACAAAGCTTCTGTAACTTAGGAACCATCAGTTAATAGTTAAGAAAAGCATATACAGCATCTGAAACAGTTAATGCTGAATGATAAAGCTGTACTTTGCTCATCCAGGAAAAATACCAACCCTCTCTTTAATCCAATATCAACATATTTACCACTGGGCTGGAGGGAAGACAACACCCTAGGTATACTCTAAAGAATAAAGTTATTTTCACTCGCAGGAATTTTCATTACTTTTACCTTCACAAATACAGCACAGATGTGGATATTAGGAGAAAACATTTGAAAAGCCATAAAACTGCTACTCATTTTATCATCTACTTATAGTCTCTTTATGAGAGACTGTCTTTAGCCATGGCAGTGCATTAGTCAGCTGTGCTCAGCACTGACACATCGCAGATGAACTGGTCTGTACACTGCTCCTGTGGTGCTCTAAAGCCGATAAAACTCAGCAGCTGTTATTTTCACTGGCTTATGCAGCACATAGTGGGTGTTCTGGTCACTTTATAAATATCACCTTTACACTTCCAAATGCTTATAAGCACATTTATTTCTAACAGAGTATCTCCACTTAGGTCCAACGTGTATTTAGTTGGTGTTATATCAAAAGGTCAGTTCTGAGGGCAAAATGTCTCCCCAGAATGACACATATGAGAATGAAAATATTTTTGCATTTGTATCCTAGAAACGTACACCCAAGTCTGGTCAAGTGTTCACCACAGGAAGAACCACACTGGTGGAAGAGGCCGCAGGGTCCGGCTTCTGTGCCTGGGCCTTGGCTGCAGAGTCCCAGTCCCAGAGCTGAGCCAGCAGAACCAGCCACGTGGGTTGTCTGCACCAGGCCAATGCTAAGCCACTCACGTTAATTCAGTTGTTCATAGTTTTGTGAGTGAACTGGGCTGACTCTATGCTTTCAGGAGAAAGGATAATCCCAGATAACCCTGTGTGGGGACACTGACCTGTAGCAGGAGAATGGGAAGAAGATGGTAAGGAGCAGTAGGGAAAAGAGGTCTGCAAAATTCTGGCCGCCATGGAAAAGCATTGACCACTCACTTGTCCCTTTCAGTCTAAGACTGATATGCTATAGGAGCCGGGTTAAAAACAAACACAGGGAAGTGATTTCTCAAGCAGCCAGTGGGAATGGACTTTTTTGCCGAAAGACATTGTGACTGCATATATTTAAAGGGAGAGTGGACAAGCACTTGGAGAGAGGTTACTACAGGTTACTAAACAAAAGAAACTGTCACAGGCACAAAAAAACCCCTCTAGTTGATAAAGGTCAGAGATAAGAGCAGGGATAAGTGAAATGCTTATTACTGCTGCCCACCTCCCCATGTAGTAGCAGCAGAGCCCAGGTATATTTGCCCTTGGCATATAGGAATGTCCTACTTGCTTTGCTCTTGTGACAGCTCCAAGGATCATGCTTTCTACAATACTCCATGGTACTTCTCCCTCCTGCTTCCTCATTGCTGGAAATTCTTTGCCAGACGTAGTTTGCCAATCTAGAAATTAGTATAAGTAGAGAGCAAATAATTTTTTTGGCTGTCAGCTAGGGTAAAGGGAGAGTAGTATATAGTCAGGCTCCAAATCCTTTTTCCCATTATGCTGTATAGACTTTACCCAATATTTTTGTCCCAGGCCAAAAATGCCCTGGGACACAACCAGGAGCCCAGCATCTGCTTTTCCCAGAACAGTAGGACTACAAAATGATGTTCCCTTCTGCAGGCTCTTTCCCTAATGAGGCACTGAATCCTCTTCTAGCAAAACTTGAGGACACGGCATACAATACTTCCCCAAAGAGCTTCTCAGCTCGTAGTGAGGCCACACCTGTAAGAGATGAGACTTGACATCGTTCCCCCACTATGGTAGAGGTTGCCGTAAAAACTACTTACTGTAGCAGTGTGTCTTGTAAGGCCAGATCATTTAGTGTGTGTGGCGGGTCAGATTATACATCCATCCTCTGCCCATACCAAGAACTCTCCCAGGAAGCAGGGTGTGTGATGAAGTAACACAGTGCAATTGCATTCTCCCCTATTTCTCATCCGTTCCTGGCTGGATTTTGCTTTGAAGCCTAAGGGCTTATATCTTTCATAAGTGTTATTCTATCTCCACAACAGTCCAGAGCTCTCCTTAGTAACATTTATGGAAAGGAGAGAAAAAGAGAGGAGAGGAGAGGAAAAAGGAAAAAAGGAAAAAAGAAAAAAAATAAAATTAGGACAACCTAATCAAGTTCAAATTAGAATAGTACATTCTGGGAATGTATTGCGTTTCCTGGAAACATAGTCTCTCCCGAGCATAGATGCTCCCTAAGGTCCTGCTCCACCAGGGCCATCCCATCAGCACTGTAATGTGCAACAGCAACAGCAGCGATCCACAGCAGTGCAGAACCCAACCATTCCTGCTAAATACTACTGTCACCAGCTGGAGACAAGGGCTTATGGACTCACAGCCACTCGAGCTTTTTAAAAGTTAGTATCAGGTTGACTTGGGCTTTGGAGCTAAATGCTACAAAACCTCAGCCTCCCCTTCTCCCCCCTTGCAGTCCAGACACTCAAGGGCAGTGAGAGCATCCCAAATCTACACCACCAAATGCTCCAACACTGTCTGCAAGGCCTCATTGTCCTGATACTTTCTGTGTGTGCCAACTCAAACAAGAAATAGTGAGCATGGCACAGATGGGGGAAATGGGCTTCTCCCTGTGCACCAATGGAGACGGAGTGGCATGTGGCACTAGCCCAGCAGCCCCTCCTTATCCGAGAGGCACCGAGCTGGGACAGCAGATTGCTGCAGGTGCAGAAAAGACATGGAGTTTGAGTCTCCCCACAGATTTCCTATGTTTCTTCCAAAGTTACAATATTTTAATTGATATTTCTTATGAGAATTCAACAGGTGCAACATAAATCCCATGGATTGTGCTGAATCCCACAAAACCTTGACTTTCATTTTGGAAGGACAAGGTGGGGGGGGGGGAGAGGAGTTTTTTTGCTCTTTGGGTTTTTAGCCTTGAGCTACATGAGACAGAAAAAATGCTGTATTTGCTCAAAGTGCTGCCAGATTAAAATAAACAGCTATTCATCTTATTTTTCTGAAAGGATGGTTAAATCATTGAGAAAAACTCATTGACTGTAGAAATACATTCAGTCATAGCACAAGTACAGTGGGGACAAACTTGGCTTTTCCTCATACCTCCTGGAGTGGGGGGCAAGAGTTCCTAGATCCATTTCTGACCCTTCAGACATGCTTGGCAAAAGCAGATGGGACAGCAGCAGTGTCAGGAATAGAATCTCTGGGTTTACAGATACAAGGAGAACCCTGCTAAAAACAGTTAACAGACCCATTCTGCCAAAGTGTTATTTATGAGATGAGAATTGCTAGTAACAAAGGCGAATGTCACAGCATATGACTTCTTTAGCATTGTCATGATATATCTCCTCTTGGTTTAGTTTCTACTTGACTGATGGCTAAGTATCTGCAGGACTCCACATGGTACATTGATAAACAATGAGCAGACAGGGAGGCAGATGTCAGAAATAAAGACAGACTTCTACTTCTCATTTTTTACAAATGGAGGGTTTGTTAGATGGTTTGAAGATTTTTATATTTCTGTATTAAAAAGTTTCGTAAAATGCTAATCCAGCCCAAAACTTCAGACCACCTAGGAAGACCATATTTCTAGCACTTAGAAAGTGGTCAAGCTGATAAACTGCAAATCTGTGTGTTCTTCTCCACACTCCTGTACCCATTCTCCGCTGTTTTACCACATTTGCAGTTCAGTTCAAGTGCCTGGCACAGGTCCTGCACTGGTGCTAGGCTAGTCTGATAGGCCCGTATAGGAAGGAACAGATATATCTGCTGACAGATAATGATCAACTGGTGGATGAGGAAAAAAGCTTTTTTCTTTAAAATCAATACTAGTGCTCAGCATCATAACAATAGCAATAGTAAAACTGTTGGTAGAAGTAATATAATGTTAACATTGATAATAATAACAATGAGCTTTACTGAGAACATACTGAAGATCTTTAAATCCTATGATATTAATTTCATTTAGCACAGCGAGACATGATTTTAAAGCAGAAATAAAAAACTAGGAAGAAGGGACAATCTCTCATTTCTTTTCATTATATGAAGTAGAGGGGAAGAAATGGTGCTTTTTGCTTTCCACCAAAAATCTGAGATTTTTCATTGGGATGAAAATTTGAAATATCAAAAATTTTTCCAAATCAAAATCTAAAGCAATACAAAACACAAAATATGGAACAACACAAACAAAACACTTATCTTACTCCTCCTTAGTGCCTTTTGTCTATACTTTGGCTTAAAAGCAAGCTGAAAAAACATTGCATTAAAAAATAAAAATTTACAATATATGTTTAGGTGTTTAAATGCATTATTCTGATTTTCTAAACATTTGTCCTGATTTTTAAACAAAAAAATTATGAAAATGGATGTTCTCCAAGAGATAGTGTATGTTCATTAATCCAGAATTTTTGAGAAAAAGACTATTTGGGGGAAATTCCTGCTTAATCCTAAGTCGTCTTTTCCCTCCTCTAAAGGCCTGTTGAATTCTAATACCTGACATTTTTACTGTACGAGTTCTAAAAACATCACCATGGGAGTCAACATCATTATCCTCATTTGCCACAGTGGAAGACCAAAGGACTTGCCCCAGGACAAGAAGCAGACCACACATGGAGATAAAATGAGAACTCTCTCATGCTAGTTCCAGCTCAGTGCTCTTTGGTTTTTGCTGCATAACCAAAAAATGGGTCTCTGAACTGATCGTTTATCATCTGGCCCTGAGTTTTGAAAAGACAGTGACAGTAAAGCCCTTCTCTAAAGAGCAGGAGACTTCCTCTAAAGACCAGCACTTCTCCAGTAGGAATTGCTGTGAGATGCTCCACTGAGTGACTGAAATAATGTAGGGGAAGTCTAAAGAGAGTGAAACCTACCTGGTCCATCCATCCTCATTTTCCTCTAAAAAAACACATTTATCTACATTTATAGAATCATAGAATGATAGAAACAACCGGGTTGGAAAAGACCCCTGGGATTATCAAGTCCAACCCTTGATCCACTACTGCCATGGTTACTAGACCATGGCACTAAGTACCACATCCAGTCTCAACTTAAAAACCTCCAGGGATGGTGAATCCACCACCTCCCTGGGCAGCCCATTCCAATGTGTGATTACTCTCTCTGTAAAAAATTTCTTCCTAATATTCAACCTAAACCTCCCCTGGCAGAGCTTAAGACCATGCCCTCTTGTCCTACTGCTGATTGCCTGGGAGAAGAGACCGACCCCTACCTGGCTACAACCTCCTTTCAGGGAGTTGTAGAGAGTGAGGAGGTCTCCCCTGAGCCTCCTCTTCTCCAGGCTGAACAACCCCAGCTCCCTCAACCTCTCCTCATAGGACTTGTGCTTGAGTCCCTTCACCAGCCTCGTTGCTCTTCTCTGGACCTGCTCCAGCACCTCAATGTCCTTCCTGAACTGAGGGGCCCAGAACTGGACACTGATACAGGCGAGGATGCCATTGGCCTTCTTGGCCACCTGGGCACACTGCTGGCTCATGTTCAGCTTCCTGTCAACCCAAACTCCCAGGTCCCTTTCTGCCTGGCTGCTCTCCAGCCACTCTGTCTCCAGCCTGTAGCGCTGCATGGGGTTGTTGTGGCCAAAGTGCAGGACCCAGCACTTGGCCTTGTGGAACCTCATCCCGTTGGAATCAGATCATCTCTCCAGCTTGTCCAGGTCCCTCTGAAGAGCCCTCCTGCCTTCCAGCAGATCAACACTCCCCCCAACTTGGTGTCGTCTGCAAATTTGCTAATGGTACACTCAATCCCCTCAAACAGATCATCAATAAAGATATTAAATAGAACTGGGCCCAACACTGATCCCTGGGGGACACCACCAGCTGCCAACTGTTTGCAGCACCGTTCACCACCACTCTCTGGGCCCGGCCCTCCAGCCAGTTCCTAACCCAGCACAGAGTGCCCCTGTCCAAGCCGTGGGATGCCAGCTTTTTCAGAAGTATGCTGTGGGAGATGGTGTCAAAGGCTTTGCTGAAGTCCAGATAGACTACATATCATAAAAGGAGATCAGGTTGGTCAGAGAGGACCTGCCCTTTCTAAACCTGTGCTGGCTGGGTCTGATCCCTTGTCTATCCTGTAGGTGCTGTGTGATTGCACTTAGGATGATCTGCTCCATAACCTTGCCAGGCACTGAGGTCGGGCTGACAGGCCTGTAGTTTCCCAGGTCCTCCTTCCAGCCCTTTTTGTGCATCAGCGTGACATTTGCCAACTTCCAATCATCTGGGACCTCCCCATGAGCCAGGACTGTTGGTAAATGATGGATAGCAGCTTGGTGAGCTCTTCCACCAGCTCCCTCATCACCCTAGGGTGGATCCCATCTGGTCCCATAGACTTGTGAGGATCCAAGTGGCTCAGCAGGTCACTAACTGGTTTCCTCCTGGATTACAGGGAGGCTATACAGCTTCCTGTCTCTGTCTACCAGTTCCGGACACCAGTTGTCCTGAGGACAACCTGTCTTACTGTTGAACACATAGGCAAAGAAGATGTTAAGTACCTCAGCCTTTTCCTCATCTTTGGTGACTATGTTTCCCCCCATGTCCAACAAAGAATGGAGGTTTTCCTTGCCCCTCCTTTTGCTATTGCTGTATTTGTAGAAGCACTTCTTGTTATCCCTAACAGAAGTGGCTAGATTGAGTTCAAATTGTGCCTTTGTCTCTAATTTTCTTTCTACATGACCTAACTATATTTCTAAACTCTTCCTGAGTAGCCAGCACCTCTTTCCATAGTTGGTAGGCTCTCTTTTTTCCCAATTTCCTTCAAAATCTCCCTTTTCAGCCAGACCGGTCATCTTCCCTGCCGGCTTGCCTTTTGGCACACTGGGACAGCCTTCTCCTGTGCTTTCAAGACTTCCTTCTTGAAGCATGTCCAACCCTCCTGGACCCCCTTGTTTTCAAGGGTTGTTTCCCAGGGTACACTCTGAACTAGTCTTCTGAGTAGGCCAAAATCTGCCCTCTGGAAGTCCAGTGTA